GCTTCTGAGAACTGACAATTCTCACTTGCGTTTATTGTACCAGATGGGAAATTTGCTTTGCCGGCAGGTAACAGACATAGCACAGTACACTACACATTTATCACAACATGAGCCCATTAACAAAAACAAAACAGACATGTACTGTATGATGAGGAAGAAAAACATAAATATATAAATAAAGTAACATATACAATCAATTGTCCAAATTAAACAGGTTGATAGCCATGAGAATAAAAGATAACTTAGTTTTATTGCATTTCAATCTGTTTAGTCTAAATCAATGCCTAGATAGAGGGAGCTCCAATTCATTGTGTGGTCATGACAAACAATGTTATATTGGCCTTCCACTCTGTTTCTTTGACGTAGGTGTCTGACAGCTGCAGCTGTCATCCACTAATAATTTTGCTGGCTACTGTCACTACTGCTCCATCTGTGTTAATTGCATGTTATAAGGTTAGTACGTCTGGAATGCTAAAAATCCAGACTAGAGCATTTATTTGGTCAGATTACATGCTAGGATTAACAAGCTACTACCTATCAAACAATCTTATTGGAATAAACCTTGTCCATGCCTTATAATGTTTTTTTGTCAGTAAAGAGCATTAAGAAAACCTTGAGAATCATGTCATTCACCTATGAAACTACCTCAAGAAAAAGGTGAAAGCATGATTTGTGGAGTGAAATGGTTAAATCCAGTTGTTTGTTTCTTTACTTTTTTATTAACCTTAAACTTTGCCCTCCTTGAAACTAAATAATCACTGTAATCCATTTCATGTCATCATAGAATTAAGTCTTCAGTACTAGGAAAGCCTGCATAAAAAGTTATCAAACATTACTGTAACATAAAGGATAAAATGGAGATTAAAAGATAAAGAGAAGCAAACAAACATGCAGAGAAATAGGACAGAATTATACAACATGGTGTATTACAATCATTCTGCATTTACATTTATGGTAAATTTAAGTTAAATTTAATTCATACCCTTTGTAAAACAATTTATCAGCAACATTAAATGTTAGTTGATTGAACAGTTTACTAACAATTTTACTTTTAATGAGGGTGGCCTACAATATTCCTTAGATTAAGGTGGAAGAGATCCAGGGAAAATTTAAACTGAAGCTAGGCCATACCCCCCTCTGCATACATCATCTGTATTTTACCATTTTTTCCTTTGGCTCTAATCAAATGCCTTGATCTACCACCCACCAATGAAAGACATCATCTTTGAACTGCTCATTATATTTCCATGAGGTGGGTAAAATGAGTCCAAGGTACATTATTTTTTTCTTTAGAAAATAGTTTTCTCTTTTTCAAACAAAGGAGATTGATTTTTAAGTCATAAAAATGCTGGGAAAAAAATATTAGTAATATACCAAGATTGTGCCAAAAAACATTGAAGAAGTTCTTTCTATGAACAATAATTGTACTAAATACAGGACACCTAAACATCATCAGCAGGTTTCTCCATTCAAATATGATCTCTTTGTTGTGACTGGAGCCACTTACACTAAATTGCTGTCTGGCTATAATTTCATAGCCTCCTCTGCCTAGTTTCATTCACTGCCTCTCAGTACCAACTGAAGACGGTCTATAAAATGGGTTCATCCCGTGTGTTCTTATCATGTCTGTTGCTCATACAGCATCAGCTCATTCTCTGAAGCCTTCATACCACTGCTGTTCTAGAGGTCAGCCAAGCCTTGGTGTCTTTGCTTGTTCATACAGTACATCACGCTCTCCCACAGTTTGTATTCACCTTGGCCTCTTCTTATGAATAATATGCATCTGTGTGATGTTTGCTTTGCATCATAAATATGATAATTTTACACTCCACAATTAATACCGTTTTTAAAATCCTTAATCAGCAAGACACTGTCCAGGTGTAAGGGCTTGCTACTATGAGGTTCCTGGCTCAGACCCACAATTAAATACTGATGTCCTGTGTGCACAGCTGAGCCTACGTTAGAAAATGTCCCCATGCTCTATCGTTCAGATAAGATGTCAAACTGTGATCCTATTGTAAGTAACAATGATGTTGGTGTTCCATGGCATACCTTCCAGTGTTTGGTAGTCACTTTGGATAAACCCATCTTCTGGAGGTCAAAGTAGTATTCCATATTATATGCACAGCTGAGCCTACGTTAGAAAATGTCCCCATGCTCTATCGTTCAGATAAGATGTCAAACTGTGATCCTATTGTAAGTAACAATGATGTTGGTGATCCATGGCATACCTTCCAGTGTTTGGTAGTCACTTTGGATAAACCCATCTTCTCGAGGTCAAAGTAGTATTCTATATTATATGTATGGTATTTCATCTACAATTTCTGAATCATATTTCTCACTAAAAGTACATTTCTACTTAGAATCCTTTAGAAATTTAACTTTGAAACCTTATTTTGGGAAGGCACAGTGGCATAAAGGTTAGAGCTGTTGACTTGCAGCTCTTGGTGTACTGGGGAGTGTTCTGTGTGGAGATCCAGATGTACACATTCCATTTACTCCAGTTCAGGATTAATTGGTGTGTATAAATCGGTAGGACTGATTTGTTACTGGCCTCAAAAATGTGTGGCTTTAATTGTGCAATAAAGTGACTTTAAATCTGTTAAGAACTCATTTGAGTGATATGTTCAATTTGAGCCTCCACTGGTCACAGGTCAAAGACCGTTTTTCCTTCCAGTGCAACGCAACCTTTTGTCAAGAATGAGAAATAATTAACAATCATTCGGGTATCAGGCTGGTAAAGGAAAACGTTAACCTTTGGCCAACCTAAGTCTCTGGGGATTCTGTCTAATTTAGTGGCTGTTCACATTGCTTTTCAGATCATGAAATTTGTATTTAAATTCACCTTGTATATTGACGTCTTATTCACAGCGGACCGCAAAATGGTATCTTGAGCACAATTTTCTATCATTTGAAATAAATGCAGCTGTTTAGACATTATGTTAACTTAAAGAAGAAATATATTGTCTGATCCTTTGTTAGGTATACAAAGGATTTAAAAAAAGGCTGGACTCACATCAGGAGGCATTGAAAATTGTCAATTGTTTATCTGTTTATGTGCCAAACTTTTCATGTGACATTGACACATTCTTGGGAAATAAAAAGGAATCCAATAGATTTTCTGCTTCATGCTCACTGATTTGCACTGCCTGTGTTATAAAGTTGGCCTTGAATTTAATAACATTTTCTGTGTACTCTGGCCAGTCAGAAATATGAGAACCATGAGTTAAAGCCAACAGCCTCAACACTGCACAATATGGTCTCTGTGTACATCCTGTCATCGGAAGATTAAGATGTGTCAAAAAGGCGAGGGGTCTTACAGAATCTGCCTTCTGGTGACCTCTGAAATAATGCGGATTATAATCGAGGGTTTTTTCAGATCTACGAGCTGACAAATACACAAAATGTACACCACTTGTCTGGTATCAGATAGTGTGGTCCCATGAGAGTGAACTGAAAACGGTTTAATCCTTAAGTGGGTTAAGAAAAAAACCCAAGTCAACAAACTGAGGTTTGAAGGTAGTTTGCCCTTGCTTTTAAAATCTAAGCAGCCACATATAGCCAGTTTGTCCTAATGTTGTGATTGGGCAAAGTGCTAATTAATATTCATACCCATATGCCCATATCCAAGTGCTGCTCTTATCTCCCTCCCTAGATTTGAAGGATCCACCTTGCAATATAATTGAAGTGTCTAAGAACAAACAATTTCCTAGAGTCTGAGAGAAAGGTTGTCTTTAAAGTATGAGTAGTTTTTGGGTTTTGCTACACAAAATATTTATCTTTGTGGCAAAATAGCTCAACCTTTGCTTCAGCGGTCTTGAGAACATTCTTCTTGTAGCCTTGTGGATCATCCAAAAGCTCTTTGACAAACTTGGGATATTTCCTGGAACTGTATAATATCTAAACATCTGTCCATCAGAAGAACCCCACCCTGACTGTTAAGCACCAGGAGACAGATGGCTTCCCATCACTGATAGAACCATGAATGTGGAGCTGTATCTGCAAACACTAGTGGAGAATGTCAGGCCATCCATTCGTCAACTGAAGGTAAGCTAAATCCAAGAGTGATATTTTTTATCAGAACTGGAGGGAGACAAAAGAAGAACATGATCTCAGGCTGCAAGAGAGGAGAATTAAGCTCCTGTGTCTGTATTTTGGATGGAAAAATGGAAACAGTTAATTGGCAGAACAAATTGCCAATCTTAAATAAAATACTGACGCAATGGAAAGACCGAGTCCTTACCATGACAGGGAAGGTGCTGGTCATCAAAGCCGAGCTCTTGGCCGTCTTGAATTTTCTGGCTTCCACCTTCCCAATCCCACACCGTGTTGCGGCGGTGCTGAGGAGACTGATGTTTCAATTTCTATGGGATGGGAAGCAGGAAAGGCTCAGGAGGGAAATAATGTACAGGCCGCTACCCTTGGGGGGACATCTGTCCCAGATATTGCTATGAAGCTGCTGTGCATTTTCCTGGCCTCTGTGCTGAGAGGCTTTGTGGCAGCACCTGAAGTGTGTACCTGGACTTATTTCCCCAGCCTTTGGGCAGGTAGGGAGATGTTCAGAGTGTGGGGTATCAGACCCAAGCTGGATGTCCCATTCTCCGACACACGCCCTGCAATTTTATGGGACAGTTAAAGTTTTCTAACATCTCATCCAATTGGCAATATTGCCTTCCGAGATAACAGCATCCAAAAACTGGAAGATGTTGTCCTGCCTCAGAATAATCGCCAGAACCCTGGGGGAATTTTAACATCAACCCAACAAGCAAGGTGTGGAAACACACATCCTCTAGGTTTCTGTGCAACATTCACAAAGACTTAGCCTGGAGTGTCGTCCACCAGTGCTGACCGGTGCGAACCTTCTTGTACCGCAGGGGCCTCAGCCTGTGACCCGTCCCCGGTGGTCCTACCATTTTGCTTAGGCTTTCTTGGCCCAATTTGAAGACTTGTTGCAGCCCCTGACCGCTTCTTTCATTATATACAGCATCTCTCCTGTCAATCTACCTTCTGACGTGTTTGACGGGATCTGGGCCGTGGTGAACAGTGGAAAGGATGCCCTGTGGAGAGTGAGGAACAGGGTTCAGGGTTCGGGGTTCTAGTAAAGGCAGCAGGTAGCCTGGCCCTGTCCGTTATTAGAGAGAACTATTTCCTCAGAGATCTGTGGAGAGAAGGAAAGGAGGAAGCAGAAAATCTGTGGAAAATAGGGGGCATAGGACTGCACCTCAAGAAACTATGATATGAATGATCATGTAAAGGGAAACAATGGGATTTGTCCTGTTTTGGAAGTGATGCAAAATGACTCGGAAAAATGCACCTGAACAAGATAAATTATTGTTATGTAACTGTTGCCTTGTCTAAACTTAATGAGATGTGTTCATATATACTGTTTTAAGTATATATATTAATGTAAAGCTTTATGTTTTGAGATTATCTGTATTTATTTGTGAAAAGTAAATCAAGTTCTTAAAAATTGAAAAAAAAACTAAAATATACTAACTAAAAAAAATACCAAACTATTAGCATACAGTATACAACAGAATGGCCGCAGAAGGAGAAATTTCACATTTTGGATTGGCCAAGTCAGTCAGGACCTACTGTAACATTTCAATGGAGTTAAGGCACACTAGTAAGCTGTTCATGCAAGGAATGCTACAAGTGTTACCAACCAGGAGCAGTTCTGTAAGGAAGAATGGACTGAAATTTCTAAAAGGCAAATAAGGGACTGATAAACAGTTAAAACAGGAAAACATCTAGTGGAAGTCTATGGAAGGAACCCCACTAGTTACTGGGTTTATATCCTTATTCAAGCAAAGAAAACTTACAGTTGAATTCTTTTGTTATATAATACAAATATATCTTGTGTTTTTCAGTTTAGTATGTTTATCTTAATCTTTTATTAAGACTTTCATTAAGATTATTGACCTTGAAGGTAAAACCTTTAGAAGAACAAACGTTTTTTGGTACTGTATACCTGTATATGAGAGATGGTATTATGTACAGTATCTGCCAGTCTTCCTATTAACTTGTTAATTTGTGCTCATAATTAATAATTAATCACCTCAAAAGAATCACCATTTGAATACCTTTGAAGGACCTTTGAAGGATTCATATTTTAATTTAACCCCCCAGTACAGTGCCCATGGAATTAGTACTAACAAACCTCAATTTCATAATAATTCTAAATTAATTCTATATTTATCAGAATATAGCTACTGTACACTCTGACATTATTTTTAGATCTTGTACAGGCACTGGTTAATATACTGTATGTGGTAAATTTGTAGATTTTGGTTTCAAGGTATTTTTATTTTAATAAAAAACAACGGTAAGTTTTTTTTTTGCTGCAAAAAGATCATACCAATGGCACACAATCTAATTTATTTCTCACGCCTGACATTTTTTTCATCGTTTAGTTTCAGTGAAATTAAAACTCAAACATCCTGGCAGAGAGCAGATCATATCCATTGCTGTTTAATTTTTCATTTTTCTGCTCTCTTACAGCTATGCTGAAACTCATAACAGCCTCCAAATACTGTATAATTTTCCAGTGGGAACTGGAAACAGGAAACAGATAACAGAAAAATACAGTACTGTACATCTCATTTACAGTATCCACATTGAAGTTTTCTGTTTAACCCCTCTCTCTCTGCTTTAGGCTTAAAAAAAGGTTGAAGGATTTTTGACTTTTTATCCCTGAGTTCAGCAACTCTCCTTGCATTAAACATCATGGTGTTCATCCAAAGCATATCAGAGAGGAGTCACATCTTTACAGGTTAATCTGAGCACATTCACTACGTGCATGGTATTAGTATTGGGATAAGTTTCAGGCTTGCTGGCACAGAGGAACGGATGACAAAACAAAACCCTGTACTGTATACAGCCAAAGTGTATATGCAATTAAAATGCAAATCCCAAGAGATGTACTGTACCTGATGATTTATATTTTTTGTCACTGTTTCGAAAGAGAAAGAGAAAAGAGAAAAGATTAAATAAGTAAGCTGTCACAGCTTTTTGTATTACAGTCTGGCTTGTTGTTCCCTAGGTACTTTCCATTTCTTCACACGGTCTTGTGTTAGTTTGTTAATGGGGCTTGTTGTAAACAAGGCTTGGGAAAATAGTTCCCACTGATCCTTAATGTTTTTGAGAGACCAGTGTGTGGCATGAGGAAAATGTGATAATGTTTATACACGTAGATGACATTTAGCACAGAAGAGACTGAAAAATGCTGTCTGTAAGGTATTGTTGGGTGCATAAAGTCTGATTTCCTGCTTGTTTTCTTGCTTATTCAGTGCTATTGCATTCGGGATCATAAATTTGTGGTCCTTTCCACATGCAAAGAAGCAATCCAAAAGCCAGAGATTCATAGATTATCTTATTTCAGAAAAAAAAAACTCTCATACTTTCTCTTCCTCCAAAACTTCAGTACTTTAGCTAATCCAGTTTAGATTTACACACAGAATGTATATAACACCTTAAAAGATGGCTCCCTTCCCTCTTTCCCAGATATAGTTGATGTTCCCAATGCCCTGCCTAATACGTCTTAGGAGTGACATACATTGCATTTGGCTATATTGTTAATTGCAACAATTGTTTATGGAAACACTGCAATGTCTGCTACCAAGTGTCATGGCATGGTCAGGTAGGTGTCTTTCACTGTTTTAAGAGATTGCATAATTAGTCCCCTTCTCCCAATCCCATATTTGCATATATTTTGAGGTCTTTGCTTCCTTGTTTTCCTCTACTAAAGTTAGAAAAAACAGGGTTATTGGTTTAAATTAATCATTCCCCAACAGGGCGGAAAACTGTAAATTCAAACCATTCATAGTTTCAGTGGAGAACACATAGAACTGTGTAGTTTAAACCGAATGTGAATACTTTAAGTTACAGATGAATCTGAGTAAATGAGATCAATCTTGTTTGTGTGCTGCTAAACCTCAAAACGTGTCTGGAGTGCTGTGTAAAAGTGCTCAAAATTCTCAGATCAGATACTTCCACTAATTTATAAGATCACCACTCAAAATCCCCAACCAAGCTGATTTTAACCAGCAGTTTCTTTTTCGACTGCAAAGAGTAAGGTCTTTTGAATTGGGAAAGGGTTAAATGGAAGGGCTTGTGACTCATTTACAGTCACAGGTTTCATAACCAACTTGAACTCTTTGTGTCAGAGTGAGCAAAATGTCAAGTAAACATTTGTCTGATGCTAATTGTAATACTAGCCTGGCCTCTGAGATTGGGTTTTGGGAGCAGAAATTGTAAGCTGGCAATTTTGCTTGGAAAATGAGTTACCTTGTGACTGTAATAATACACTGTACAAAACCTGAGCATGACGTGAGTGCCAAAATCACTTGATACAGTAGACAATTACGGCAGTATTTGGATTTCAAAGATACAAAACATGAGAATAATTTGCCATTTGTTGTGTGAGGGCCAAGAGCTGTTAATGTGGTATGAAAATCCCCTCATGTTAAAATTTTGAGTAGGGAAATCAAATCCAGAAGGGAAATCAGATGGTATGAAGCAGGGGCTGAGATATTAAATACATCTGCCCCAAGAGTTCTCGCCTGTGGAGTGCCTTTGATTGCTGTTGCCAATGGCAGCAAGAGGATCGAAAAAATGTTCTCGTTTTATGAAGAGAGGTGTTGCTCACGAGGAGCACTTTTGTAAAAATAATGTGTCATGGAAGTGATGGGTTTATAGCTCTGTTGCTCACGTTAAGGCACCTGTATGGATTAGGGAAGCTGAGGGGGGGAGTGTCACTAAATATTCATCAGCTTCATGCCATTTGCATGGGCTGATTATACTTGTCATCAATACTGAACAAAGTACAAAGACTAATACACAAATGGTAATGTTCCAGATAAATGATAGCTGCACCTACAGTACAGGAGTCAGACATTCTGAAAGCTCATTGCCCCGTAGTCTTTTTCCATTAAGGTAAAGGACTGTTTTTTTTTTTGCATAACTAGGCACTATCAGTATTAACTGTCAGATATACTGTAGAATAGCTTGTTAGAAAATTACAATAATTACAAGACACTGGTTATGAAATACACATGTAATGGGATTATAAGGAGCAGGTTTTGTTTCATGAAAATTGTTGGTTCATTTCAAAAAGGGAACACATTTGATGAATTACTTTTTTTTTTTACCATTTTGCCTCACAAATGATGTTTACTATAGCAACAACACTCGTGTATATTTTAGGCCAATTTTATTATGTTCTGTGAAGAATGTAGTAAGCATGAATTAGTGAATTTACAATACATTCCAATATATTCCAAATATATTTTAATTGGACAAATGCTTTAGAAATGCAATTTTACTTGGCTGGAGTCATTTTAAAGCCTAGTGTTTTTTCGCTTTTATTTAATCAGTACGGAAGGCAGCATAAATGAGATTTCAAAAGGGATATAAAAGTGTTATTTTTCAGGGAAATGTGATTTAGTGTTAACGGTTACATTACATTCCTTAGTTTCAGGTCACAAGCAGCCTTAGGCCCCAAAACCTGTCACCTTCTCTCATTCCAATCCATTATTTTCTTTGAGCACAATCACGAGTGCTTGCTCCTCCTGACCAATTTGGTGTCCCTTCTCATTGTTTCTATTTTTAACTTTTAAATGTTAAACCCTGTTACTTTTTGAAGCTGGTGGGTTTTCACTGGACAACACGCAACTCTGTTGAGAAACGCTGAAACCAAAAATATAATAAAACCCTAAAGGCAAAGCATTTTGTTTCTCCCAGGATACTTACAGTATGTATTGTTCTATTTTTCTTCACTTCTGCAGTTATGACAATTCACTTAGAATCTTTTAGATATTTGGTTGTCTGTTATTTTCACATTACAATACTGACCTTAGCTCTCAGAAATAAAAAAAAATATTAATAATTTTGTGATATATTACACACACAGCACACAGATTTGATTTTCTGAATTTTATTGCTTCTTTCCCAAAAATTCCTTATTATAACTGTCTTAAACTGTATCTTTTGAATACAGTAGCATATATTCCTTCAACCTGTTCATTTTGTAATTGTAAGGTCACATTACCATTTCTGC